GAGAGAGAGAGAGAGAGAGAGAGAGAGAGTGAGAGAGAGAGAGAGAGAGAGGGAAGGGAGAGAGGAGAGGAGAGGTGGAGAGAAGAGGAGAGAGAGAAGGGAGAGGAGAGAGATAGAGAGGAGAGAGAGAGAGAGAAGAGAGAGAGGAGGTGAAGAGAGAGAGAGAGAGAGAGAGGAGAGAGAGGAGATGAGAGAGAGAGAGAGAGAGAAGCGGAGGGAGAGGGAGAGAGAGAGAGAGCGCGAGAGAGAGAGAGAGAAAGAAAGAAAGAAAGAAACAGCTGCGTGTCGCCCGGAGAACACATGCTGTCGATTCTAATGAAATGGAACACACGCTCGCAACGCCCAACGTATCACACATACACACATAAAGCACCACACACACAAACACAAACACACCCACACCTGCCAAAAAAAAGACACATACACACATACAAGGACACATACTGTATACCTGTGTTTTGTCACTCGCCGACTGATTGCATCTTTGTTTTGAAACGTAGGCAAAACTGAGGCAGGCGAGAGGCAAGCTGCAATTGCGATATCCCCTTAGTAACAACAGACCACTTTTTTTTAGGTGTTGTTTCGAATAATAGACGTATTTGGCGTCTCCGTTTGACTAGATCATAAACAAAGGAGCTAGTGAATTCAACTGCATCGTACATGCCCAAGCTTTTAAGTTGAACATAAGAAGGTATCAATAAAGATGCCTATAATAATGATAATAATGAAAATGATGGTGATAATGGTAATGGAAATAATGTTATCAATAGATACCTATGATAATGATGATAATAGAAATGATATTGATAATGATAACGAAAGTAATGATAACAATGATATTAATGATAATGTTAATAATGAGAGTAATAGTAATAGCGATAGTAATAGTAATAGTAGTGATAATAATAATAATGACATTGATGAAAGGATGGTGATGATGATTATGATGATAATAACAATAATAATAATAATAATTATACTAATGATAATTATGATGATGATGATAATAATATTTATTATGATAATGATAATATTGATGATGATAACAGTGATAATGATAATGGCAATAATAATGATAACAATGATATTGATAATAATGATAATGATATAATAACAATTATAATAATAAATGAATGATGATGAAGAAGATAATATTGATAATAACATTGTTGCTACTACTGCTACTACTACTACTACTACTACTACTGGTATTACTAATGATTATAATAATATCTACATTGGCAACAATGGCAATGACAATGATAACAATAGCAATGATCATAATGAGAATAATGATATTCATAGATATAACAACAATAAAAATGGTAACAGTAACAATTACCACATTGATGGTAATGCTAATGATAACAATAATAGTAATAATAAAACTTACTGCTTGCCCTTAGCAACTTAACTCTCCCATCCGCCCCCCCCCCCCTCTGCGTGGAGGGTTGGGCGGGGGACCTAACATGAGGGAGAAGGTGACGCGGCTCAGTCTGATTTTGGACGTGCTGCGAATAAGATAGTACGTATGTGTATGTGTGTGGTTTGTGGTGTGTGTGTTGTGTGTGTTGTGGTTTGTGTGTGTGTGTGTGTGTCTTATGGCATGTGTGTACGTATATGCCATGCCCGGTGAAGCGGGGTTGATTTATAAAGGCAGTGAGCGCCTTATGTCGTTTCAATGGGGTTGTCAATGTTTATGTAGGAAAATTGACACCTTGTATTTGTGAACATTTAGTGCCTGGGCCTGGAACCGAATTTACTAACAACTTACGGTATCGTAAATGTTTTGTTTATATCGTAAAACAAGCTATTCCCTCATTCCTCTCAGTATATATAATATATATATATATATATATTATTATATATATATATATATATATATATAATATATGATTATAATTTCATTAAGATATTATGATAGAAATTTGTTATAATTCAGTAAAACATTAATCTTACACATTATTTATCATTGGTAACAGTAATTTTACATTAGGCTATTAAGAGGTGTGTTTATTGGTAACCTTTGTTACTAAATAATTTTGATTTGTTGCTACAGAGGAAATAGTCATACTGTTGGAAATTATACATTTTCATTCAGATGATAAATTAAACTTGCTGAGTGATTTACATCAAGTGTTTCCGCACCTCTATGCATTGGCAAAAGCCAGTCCTTATTTACATTAGTCAGATTGTTTTTTTTCCGTTACTATATATACATGCCGGAGTTCGCAACGGCAGATCTACCTATAGGGTGAGAGATAT